ATCCACCAAGGTCGTGACCCCATTGCAGGCAGCCACCATCTTAGTCAGGCACAATCTGGCTTTTGTAAAGCCGTGTTGGCTGTCAGTCACTACGTATGACTCCTTATCCAGGCATACAAAAGGATGGAGTCACTAATCTGTGCTACACATGACAATTTTTTACTGTGGTTTGTGCAACAACATGAATGCAGTTGTTTACTAAGTTATCAGAGGCCAAAGGGAAAAACCATTCGAGACTCTAATGGCATTTCATCCCCAATGGCAACTGGGGTGCGCACCTATGTAGCGTAACATAGCAAGTCCCCTTCTGTGGAGCAAGGAGAATTCCATTTTAATTTAATTCTGTAAGCCAGGTACCACCTGCTGGACCCTTCATCATCTATCTAACAGCACAAAGAAACAGTCAGAAAGCAGCCTGCATACAGGGAACTAATCCTTTAATAATTCAGTATTTGTTCACTGTAACTGCAGCGTTTGCAGGAAATCCATTCACCATTAGGACTGTTATAATTTTTTTGGTGGTATTTTGCTTGCCTTTTTTCTTCCTTACTCCTCATTTATCGAAGTGCTCATTCTTCCTGTATCTTTCCACTCTTTTACGGTGGTCTTAATTCCTTCTGAAAATTAATTTGTGCAAGTCCCACCTGCAGATGGGTTCAGGAACGTGCAATCAATAGGTATTTTTGCGTCACCAGAATTAAGCGCTATTGTCATTAATATTTCAATAATACTAATTAAGGGTAAAATAATTTCAAGTTTTAAGGCATCACATTCTTTTTGTGTTTTCCACACACCACACAGGCCAAATGTGATTAATGCACTACAAAAAAAACCCCAAGCCAAACAAAAACCTAAACCAAAAAAGAAGAAAAACAAGTACTAGCAATTTAAATTCCCCTCACAGACCACAAATATAACTCTACTGGGTTTGCGTGGAAAGGTTTTTGTAGTGTGGGGGCTATGGGGGTGCTTCTGTGAAAAGCTGCCAGAATCCTCCCCTGTGTCCAACAGAGCCAATGCCAGCCGGGTCCAAGCCGGACCCACCGCTGGCCAAGGCTGAGCCCATCAGCGACGATGGTAGCACCTCTGGGATAACGTGTTTGAGAAGGGGAAAAAATTACTGTGCAATGCCAGCTGGAGAGAGGGGTGAGAGTATTTGAGAGGAACAGCCCTGCAAACACCCTGATCAGTGGAGAAGGAGGAGGTGCTCCAGGCGCTGGAGCAGCCTGTGGTGCAGCCCATGGTGAGGCCGGCTGTGCCCTGCAGCCATGGAGGGTCATGGAGGAGCACAGACCCACCTGCAGCCCAGGAGGGACCCCACACTGGAGCAGGGGGATGCCTGAGGGAGACTGTAACCCCACGTCAAACCCACGCTGGAGCAGGCTCCTGGCAGGACCTGTGTCCCCATGGAGAGAGGAGCCCAGGCTGGAGGAGGTTTGCTGGCAGGACTTGTGGCCTCAGGGGGACCCAGGCTGGAACAGGCTGCTCCTGAAGGACTGCAGCACATGGGAAGGACTCATGTTGGAGAAGTTCATGGAGGACTGTCTCCCACGGGGGGGACCCCATGCTGAAGCAGGGGCAGGGTGTGAGGACTCCTCCCATGAAGAAGAAGGAGCAGCAGTCCCCCTGTGTTGCTCAGGGGGAGGAAATAGGGAGAAAGCAGGAGCAAAGTTGAACCCAGGAAGAAGGGAGGGGTGGGGGGAAGGTGCTTTTAAGATTTGGTTTTCTTTCTCATTTGCCTACTCTGACTTGATTGGTAACACATTACATCAATTTTTTACTGAATCAAGTCTGTTTTGCCCATGACA